GGAACACACTGCGGTCAGAACGATGCTGACAGGGAAATGTGAAAAGTAGCAAACAGCAAACAGCATCAAAAGTTTTCCGGCTCTTACTTTATAGCCAGCTCCAATCTAGCCCGGCGTCTTTCATCTTTTCATCGGGGGAAAGATGAGGGTCGTCAACCAATTTTTGATTGCAACATTTCGCACCAAAGGCAAAATATGAGCTACTGCACACAAAACGAGACATGTTAAAGCTAATTTGAATATTTTCCGTGACATGGCGTTCACTTTGAGTGTGCCACCGCCTTTGTTGTTGTTTGTCCAATTTGAACGCCCACCCATCCACATACACACACATATATATATATATATAGCTAAATACCCCTGTCCCGTAAGTGCAGTGGATCCCCATCCATGTTTTACGTCATTCCCTCCAGGCGACAAGTAATTTTACTTGGCAAAATAAATTGCACAAAGTCTTTTTTTTTTGCGATTTGTCGTGTTATCTCTTTTGCTTTCTGCTCTGGCTTTGTGGTCATCATGTGTGTTTTTGGTCGGTATGTTTATGGAAAGTCTCTTTGTGCTGATTGGCCAGCATTTAATTTTTATTTCCTTGCATTTATTTGGTTTGATCAATTTTTTAAATGTGAAAAATTGATTGATGTGCATTAAAACTATTTCGTTTTATAAGTTGAAATTAATTTAAAATGTTAGAAACATTAGAGAGATTTGGATAATTGATATTTAATTTTATTTCCTATAAAAAAATCAATCTAAAAAGATATGAAATTTCTTACTTTGATTTTATTAAATAAACGTTCTACAATTTTGTATATATGCAATTGTATACGTTGAAAATAATATTAATTTAATGCCAAGATTTGTTTTGAATCCCAAGATTGCAAGATTCGCATTGCAAGGACAACATAAAATCATTTGAAATCTTTGGCACAAGAGGTAAATTATTATTTGCTTTTACTCCAAATTGAGGTAAGAATAACATGATTTTAATTTTTTTTTAACCAAAGTGCTGCTTTGCATTTCAAATGAGGTGAAGGGATGGGCCATAGCGGTATAAGAATAATTCTAGAGAAAGCCCTGAGCTTATTTTCCAAGCCATCAACTGGTCTCCAAGCTGCGTGCAGCGACTGACAAAACAAATAAACTTGCTGCCGCCTCGGATGCGCTCTATGGCGGTGGGCGTGGCATGGGCGGGGCGGTACTGCGGGGTCGTCACACACATTTGGTATGCATAAGCAGCAGTCGCATACCTTTCCGCACATTATCCGGTGAGGAGACATTTTTCCATATTTTACACAACAAAAGCAATGCCAGACGCAACTTTTACCTCAACTTACTGTGACAGTTTCCATCTTTCTGTCTCCCTCCTTGGGTATTTCCGTCTCTATCCTCTAACAACCGACCGCAATTTCAAATTTAATTCGCCATTTTCAGCAGTCAGCCAGGGAACCACCCCCAACTTACCAAAACACACAACCACCCAATCACCCACCCAACCAGCCATCCGCCCACTCAACGCCATCTTGTGGTTTTTCTTTGCCGCATTTGTTGCCGGTTTCCTTCGCCTTTTTATTACGAATACGGAAAATGTGGAATTCCTGAAGACATTTTACTTTGCAATTTCCTTACGAGTCGTTAAACATTTCCAGGCCCTGCCAGAGCGACTCCACAACAACGGGCAAAGTTAACAAAACTAATTTAAAAATTCAAATTTGCTTTCCGCTTTTTATATGCACCACAAACTGTGCATTTATATGGCTGAGTAAGTGAGCGGTGTGTACATCTACGAGTATATTTGTAAATTCAGGATGTGAGCGGTGCTGTCTGGCTTTTTGTGGCCTGGTAATTTGTATTCCTGCGGCTTTGTTGTTGATCTTCTTGTTACATTTGAGTTTTTTCTTTTCTTTTCGGCCTGGTTCGATATCTGAGGATTTTTTCGGTGTCTGTGCAAATTCGTTATAATTTATTTGTGTACCAGCCGAAGGACGGACTCTGATTGCGAATACATTTCAAATTGAGTTTTCCCATTGCTAATGGAAAATCGTGCTCGGTTAACTTAATTACGTTTGAAATTTATGCAAACATTTGGCAAACTCACTGGTTTATAAATTTCAACTCTACTAAAACATGTGATCCTCATTGGAATAATGCAAATTTTAGCTCATTAATATCAATCAAATGATTGATAGCACTTAGAGCCACCACCGAAGTTGCCGCACCCTTCGCGCCACCGCCATCCCCTTCGGGCTGTTAATAAATCCTTTGACAATTGTTACATTAATGTCAATAAGCTGCACGCATTTACATTTGTGACCCCTTTCCTGTCACAATATTTGTTCGACTCGTGCCAGGACGAGTCTGATAAGGATCCCTCTTTATGCCTCTATCTCACATTCAGCAGTTATCTCTGGGCAATCTGTCAAAGTTTTAGCTACATTTGGGCTGTCTCATCAATCAATTCCGCTTAGCCAATTGTCACTCAACCATTTTATTTGGCTTTTCAAGCTTTGTGCGGATAATTTCCGGCAAAGAGTGACGGCCAACTCATTGTAATCGCTAGTGCAAATCACATTTAAAATACTATCCATAATATATTAGGCAGGGTCGATACAGTTGTAATTGTAATTCGAACATTATGTCGACACTATTGGGCAGTGTTATTGGTCCGCGGTAAATTTGCAACAAATTAAAGGCCAATTAAGCCTTCAGACTGACTAACGAGCCGTCGACCGCAAATGCACACACGCAATTGCAATTATCAAATTAGTGCGGGGCGGGGCGGTCGGACAATTGGAGAAACAAACAATAAATTGGATATGGAAATGCAAAACACAGGCACACTCGCACTCGCACTATAATTAAGTTGTTGACCCGACCCGAGTGGAACTCAGTTTAGGCCGAGATGCGATTGCGATGCACTACTGACATCTGACAGGCGCATAGGCCTCGAATTAATTAATATGTTTGCGTATATATATGCAGTAAAATTATATCCTGGCACGGGTGTGTCTGTTCCATTTCCACTGTCCAAGTTTGAAGTCCTCGAAATGCACTTAATTTCCACTGATATGCGTCCTCTTATCCCCCAGGTTCTAATGTCCGTCGTGGCCTATTAAACACACCCCTGTTCCAGCCAAATTTACCTGAGTCGGCACGCGCCACTGGAAATTTTCAAAAAATTTTCAACATACCTCTGCGGTTTTCCGGACGTTTTTATAGTCTTTTCAAATTGCTCTAATTCGTTAAGTTATAAAACTGGCCGCCAAGTTTTCGAAGTCATTTACTTTTATTGCCCAGCGGCGGTCAATGAACTAAAAGTCAGAGGACTACCCAAAAAGGACGACACATGCGTGTTAATCTCTAATTTGCTAGGCGATCATGGAGATATATACCTACACACATATATACAACGCATACATATTCAACATCGCAGCGGGTAGTTGATAGGAGCTTGTTCCATTCGTATCCTTTTAATTGCCAAAACTCGCCGTGTTTCGAATTTCGGTATCTAAAGTTGTTTTTCCCATTTTAATGGCGCTATTTTCATTAGGCAAATGTATGTTCGCCTTTTTTCCTTTCATTTTATTCCCAAAAAATTCGACTCTTTTATTTTTGTGTGCCGCTCATTAGCATATAAAATGTATGGAACGCAAGGAGCTATCCTTTATTTGAGAGGCAGTGGTTGGGTGCGAGTGTGTTTGTATACACAATTCACGTTTATTGTATATTCATCATTTTAATTGCTTGTTTTTGTACTAAATGACTCGATAAGGCTTTTAGGGTTATTAGGCAAAGATGTCCTGCCGTCTCCACTCTGCTACCAGGTGGGTAGTCTATTTCTACATTTATATAAGGTAGACACCAACTGGCTCCCGATCTGGTATCTCAGGTGGAAATACAGCTTGCGTCATACTGAAAAGATTAACTGAGGGAACATGGTCCCGGTCAAGAAACCTTTTCATACCCACTGCAATAAGTATTAATTATTGTAATTCAAAAATTGAAGCAAAGATAAAAACTAATATTTAAATTCAAATTTTAGTTACTCTGTATCTCAAATTAAATTGTATATGAACGGCAAAAATTGAGGACAGCGTTCACTGCTATGGGCAATATTTTCTAACCTATTGAATCAAAAGACAGAAGTACAGTTTTTGGAAATCCATTTTTCGAAAATTTGAAAAAGTAAAGATAAAAATACGAAAAATCGATCCAAAAATACAAACCAAGATTTATACACAGATTTTTAGAAGATTAATCCACAATCAGTTAGAAGTATGCCTCTTTAATATCGGATGTCTGTGAGAAAAGTTATCGGCCTAAATGTGCAGTTTTTGGACACCTTTTTGCATAACGATTTTTGAAAAATTTGGAAAAGTAACCGCTTATAAAAATATTGCAAAATCGACCCAAAAATACAAAACAAAATTTATATGCAGGTTTTTTGAGAATTAAATCACAATTATTTAGAGGTTTGCCTCTTTGAAATCGGATTTCTGCTAGAAATTGTTATTGGAAATCGATTAGATCATAAGAATCACAAAAAATATTAGTATGAAAACTTAATTTGTCAACCTTTAGAATGCGAAGTCCTTTGCTACATGCACAGCAAATGAAATGGAATACTAGAGGAGAAGGCAAAAGGAACAAAAAACCAATTCACGTAGAAAAGTGCAAAGGAGATATATCTGGGGGAAAAGGGAAAGGACTGGGGTCCGGATATGATTACTTTTCCTTTTGTTTTCCATTGCGGAACTGGGGAAATCAAGAAAGCGTGGCAGAAAGAACAAAGAAATTACTTTGCCAACGAGTGAACGGATATGAATAAAAAAGTGATCAATGCAATGAAAATGATTGTCTGCTCATTGTAGCGCTCCCTTCACAATTGAGCGCACAAAGTGCGAAAAAGATGAAAGTTCGCAAAATGTAACAACACTTTAATGAAAAGGAAAAAACAAATAATTTGAAAAACAATAATTCCTTACGGGCTGTGTCTGGGGCGCTTATATGTCCTGGACTGAAATAAGGATGTTTTAATTAAGAATTCTTGTTAATTTCGTCTTTGAAAACTCACGTGAAGTCCTGATTTAATTACAACCACACCCACCGCATGAAGAACAACGGCGTGGCCTGCATCCACATCCGCAGGATTGACAGCATCCACATGAGGAGCACTTGGGCTTGCCACATCCACAATTTTCCTGATCGGGTTCGTCGATGCAACAACTCTGAACCAAGGAAATGGTCATGGCAACCAGGATGATTAACTTGATATTGAACATTGCAATTGGCTTGGAGAAACTGGATTGCACTCGGTACTGTCTTATTGGGGAATGATCCACCGATCTTTATAGCTCCAATATAGGGGCAACCTTTTATTTGCCCAGTTGATTTTTAGTGCTATTTAAGGCTATCGTTGACGATTAAGTAAACATATTGCTTTTGCACCATATGGATATAATATGGTGGTATTTTAAGGGGAAATGAACATTGAATACCCGTTACAAAAAATATTATAGTAACAGATTAAAATTTAAGGAAGGTATATTGTATTCCTGCAAAAAAGGATATGTTAACAAAAAAAAAGGTAAGAAGGAAGCGTTTCCGACCCTATAAAGTATATATATTCTTGAACGACTATAGCGTTCTCTCTTGTTTTATAGGTAAATTGTGGTAAATGACACATTGAATTAGTTAAAAAAATAAATAAATGTTTATAATAACATTGCATTTATAATTTTTTCCTTAATTTAGGTTTTATTTGCATATGTGTGCAAAGTTCCAATCGATGCTAAACAATGGAGACTATTTTAACTAAAAACATTTTTTTTTTTTTTTTTTTTTTTTCCTTTTTTCCAAAATTTTAATCCTCAGGTATAATAAGCTGAAAAACACTCCGATTACAGCTAGTTACTACATTTAAATAATCCTAACTAAATAACTTTTTATTTAAACTTAATGTTTATTCATTTGCAGAGTAATTCATTTAAATTAATATAACCTATATAACAAGCATAATTAAAACATACAATTAAAAATAAACATAACCTGCGGGTCCCTCTTATTAAGAGCTTATATTAAAAATGAAATAATCTTTGCAGGCATTCGTTTAATTTGTTAAAATTTTATTTATATTTTTTTTCCATTTTTTTTTATTCATTTGTAGAAAAATATTATTTTATTTGACAATTGCAGCTAAAACAATTATATTTAAAACTAACCATCTCCGCAGTATATAAATTTAACTTAAAACTAATTAAATAAGAGTTCGAATAGTACTTCAACTGGTTTCATTTCACTTAGATAGGCCAACAATAAGAGTAAGATAAGAAGGCTGAAGAGATATAGAAAATATTAATATTACTCAGCTATTTAATTGTTTTCGATCTTACGTTTTTTGTTTTCAGAAGAAAATTTTAACAGATGGCAAAGACTGAAAAATCGCTCTGTGGCGATTGATCCTGGCTTTCGATTGCAGCCACAAGGAGCTGGTATGGGAAATTCGGCAACCACGGGGAATCCCACTCTACACTTTGTTTTGATGAAACTACGGCAAAGCTCCTCCGATACAGGCACAAATGCTGGAATTGGTTTTAACAATCGAATGTGTGTTTTTAAAGAGTTTCATGTACTTACGGGTTTGACCGTCCTTTATTCGTTGATCGTTTTCATTATGCATAAGATATTCGTTTTGGAAACAACGGCAGACACAGTCTTGGAGAGCCCATTGGTAATTTCTGTAGTATATATTGCAATCGTCGGTGATGGACGCTGAAGTTGTCGTCGTTATCGTAGGCTCGGGATTGAGCTCTGGTTCAGGCACTGGTTCGTGTTCCGGTTCGTGTTCCGGATCGGTTTCAGGCTCGGGTTCAGGTTCAGGTTCAGGTTCAGGTTCAGGCTCTGGTTCAGGCTCTGGTTCAGGCTCGGGCTCAGGCTCAGGCTCTGGTTCAGGCTCTGGTTCAGGCTCTGGTTCATGACAAGGCTCTGGTTCAGGTTCAGGCTCAGGTTCAGGTTCCGGCTCAGGATCTGGATCAGGCTCAGGCTCCGGTTCCGGTTCAGGCTCGTGGACAATATGGGCATTAGAAAACCTTAAAACACCCAACAACAAAAGAATTAATTTAAAATTGAACATTTCTTTAAAGTAACTGTAAATGAAACTGCCATAAAAAGACCAACCATTTCGCTTTTTATATTAAATATACTCCATTGTTTTAGCAGTTGTGGCAAACCCTTTTGTTGACTTAGTGCACATAGTATAAAGATCCCAAAATGTTTGCAGAACGTGCAACTTAAGCTGCACGAGAATATGTGTTTGCCTAACCTTGACTGACCGAAATATAGAGTAGAAAAGACCTTTAAGGAAAAGCTTTTAAAATGCAAGCCCCTAAAAACAGACTCTTAAAGCTTAAATAATGACGGCAAAAATTAGGGTAATATTATAGGCGTTTTGGCAAAACCCATATGGGTAAAATTTCAATTTCAAAAGCGGAAATGTTTATAATAATATTTGTTCGACTATATATATCCAGTTCTTTGAGCAGCTGATAAAGGCTAAAAGATTGTTATAAGAAAAAGTCTTTGATATTTTATATTAAAAAAAATATATGTTATTTTAGACTCATAAACTTTTTTATTTTAGGCCTTTCCGATTTGCCTTTGCATCCGCCAGAAGCCAAAATAGGTAACTTCGCCTCCACCGACTATCTAAGGAAGTGCCTCCTTGATGATCTTTTTGTACGCTATCTCTGAGACCGAATTTAAACCTGTAAGCCCTTGATCATGTTCAACGGACTTGGGTTTTGAACTAGTGATGCAGCTATTGCTTGTGGTTTCGGTTGCTCTGTAGCTTGTTATATCCATTGTTTGTCCAGATTTTGAGTACGAATTTATTTTAAAGCAGCTATTATAATCAGTATTTGCTGTTAAAATATTTATTTAATTCAATCGAAAATGCTCTTCAGTTATTTGAGAAAACTAAATTTAGCCAGCCCTGACAGATTCCTTAAATGATTCTGAATAGGTCAGTAACCAGTTAAACTGGCTTTCAAACCCCAAAAGAGGCTCATAAAATGTAGCCACAAAAAGCGACCAAAAACCAACATAAAATGTGCTGGCATAAATACGTGTTCACCTTTCCGGTTTTGCCTTTTGTGTAAATAATTACACACTGTTGTCATTAGCTCATTAGAAGAGTCGAGAAGGCAAAGTGGCGGAAAAGCAGATAAAACAAAGGCAAACAACTCAATTAACCCTTTTCCTTCAAACCCCAAATGGCTGGATTATGATGATGCTGCTTGTGCTGCTTAGTATATGATAATATAATAAAATAATAAACGAAAAGTGTCGAGAGAGGGGCAAATCCTGACGGATTTCGTATGTAATTACTTCAATTAAACCATCTGTGACAATTGCCGCTGCCGAACATGAAATTCAACTTTACTTTTGAAATTCCCAATTGAGTTGAGGCGCATTATCGTCGTGGCAAGCAACCGCATTTATCTCCCTCCATTCGCCAGGACAACGAGCTCAACAACCCCCAGGAGCACCGCGTATTTTTACCTTTGACTTACCTTTGGCTCGACTGCTCCCCGCTTTTAATGGGGTGACATTTATGGCACTTTATCAACTCGAAAGTCAATAATACCAGCCAAGTATCTTAAATGTGGCTTAAAACGCACGCACACTCAGTAAACCGAAGAAGGAAAGCGTAAGAAAAAATGAAAAGCGGTGCGAAGGAAAATCGCAATGCGATAAAAATAAAATTTTAAAATTTATGCCGCTTATTGTCAATTCCCGGCAACTGTAACTCAAGACTTTCGGGGGAAGCTAATGCTTTTCAGCTTTGTTAAAGAAAATAAAACAAGGGAAAGTATCAAAATTACAGTGAGAAAACAAAAGGGAATTTACAATAAAAAATATCTGTAATATAATCATGACATTAGCCATCTTAAGAAATAAAAAATGTTGTTGCCTTTTTAATGAACAATGTGAATCCAATTGTCGTGTCAATCCATTCTTATTTAAGTTAAGCTAATTTTCACAAGGAAAACATTTTAATATAAATTAGTTTTATTAAAAAAAATGGTCTGCTTATTAAAAGCAGTACAAAATCGGGATCATTTCGTAATTTATTACTAATCAACATTTTCTTGAATCTTTTTTAACATTTGAAATACAGAATAAAAATAATATGATTTTTCCCAAATTCTTATCAACATTTATTATTATCAATGATTTTGTTTCGCTCTGTATATCTTTATATAGTGAGATCCTGACGAAAGTCCCCAAGTTTGTTATGACAACTGAGAGACATTTGAATCGAGCACTTGGAGGGGGAAACTCTAGCAGGGCATTAGTCGAATGGATCCCCCAGGATTAGCCAATGAGAGTGGATTTTCCCCGCCGAAACCACCCGCTTTCCAACGCTTTTCCGTATTGTCTTTAGACTGCTGACAGCTTGTGGCCTAGGGAATTTCTGCGCTGAGAAAACTTTTGCGTAATTAGGAGTATAATTTGCGAGGCAAGTCGGCTTTTTGCCGCTGACAACTTGATTACGTTTCAACAACATTGTAAAAGTTAATTGCCAGCGCAGCCTTAAAGCCTGATGAGCATTTATCACCCCGCCGAGCAGCCATCAACCGTCCTACGAAAAACCTGACACACTCCTCGCGTGTTATTATGCAAAAACCAGGCGAACCAAAAAGACGCGGAAAAAGTGAGGCATTCATTAGGCCCGACACGGCGGTGCGGTGCGGTGGTGGAGCGTCTTGTTACCACATTTTTCAATTATAGCACATTTCCTGCCCTCGGCTCACGTGTGTTTGCCAAGGGGGAAGCCCCCCTGATGAAGAGTTATTGCATTTTAATTTGCCAGCCGCTGCGAAATGTGCCAAAAAACAACATTGCTTGTTGTAATGCGCAGGTGGTGCGGCAATCTCTTATCCGCATTTCTTATCGCGGCTATTCCAGGGAATACAAAGCGACGAATTCCTGCTCTAATGAAGTCGGCGGTTCAGAGGTCAACGCCGATGCAGCTAATTAGCTGCCGCTTCATTAAAATAAGTGCCCAACTAAAAACTACAAGAGCGTCTTGTGCACTGACAAAAAGGGATACTATAGTTGTTACATATTGCCTTTATAGTCTTTTGAAATTAATATAGTACAAAGCATAAGATATAGCGTAAATAAATCCACTAAGTATATCTTTTCATAATAAAGTTTATAAGTTATGACTTCAAAAGCAACTAAACTAAAATTATGTTTTAAGATCTTACATATATTTTTTTATAACCCGTTCTTAACGTATTTAGAAATTAATCCCTGTATTATACATAATAGATTTTAAAATTAAAGTAATTAAGCTATTTTTTTTCTCTGTACAGAAAAGAGAAGCTAGCCAGAAAGGTCATTTAGCGTGGCCAACAAAAATGTATTGTTAAAAGCCGCTAATGAATTATTTACTGCCCATTTGGCCGTCCTCTATGCCGAACTCCTGACAGGTCAGGGATAAAATGGGGGTTCTAGAAGTCCACGCATAACTCAACCAGTTCACACCCTTAATTAACTACCTGCGTGTTGGTCGAAAATTGCGTGTGGCTTTGCGGCGGAAGGAATTGCTTAAACGGAATTATGTTTATTAAGCATTTAAAAAAAGCGTGACTCCGCCGACGGAGAAAGGAGCCACAAATATCAGCACATTTCAATTACCATTCCCCCCGATCCCGGCACAAATCTGTCGATTATAATCCCTCGCATCCATCAATCAAGTGCATATGAATAACATTTTTAATCACTCCGAATTACGCAGCAGAGCGCACATGATGAATTGCATATTACCAACCACAACCGGAGGGGTATGGCTATATGTGTTGTGGGAGTACAAACGCATTCACTTGACAATCACTTTTGTTTTATTGCGATTTGCCAGCCCAGACACCAACAACAACGGCAGCCAAAGCGAGCAATTTCCACTTGGGATAACTTGTGAGCAATTGCAATTGCTGCCGGAGCCATGGCTATACGGGTATAGGTATATGTATATCCAAAGACAATGAGCTGTGCCAACCAAATTGTTGTGGTGCAAAAATGCGGCATGTGTGCCTGGCAGAGGCAATCGACGCTGGAAAGGAGCCACAGCAACTGCATTGCAGCTCCAGACTCTAGGCAACAACAACGGAACGATTTACCAAGAAAATGAAAATTTATTGTCAGTAAATGAAAGAAAGCTCTCCCCCAGTTTGGTTCGTTTCAGTTGAGCCCAGTTGGTAGTGTTCGTTGGCAATCAAGGTGCTTCTTTGTTGGCCGAAAGGCAACTATTCGCAGTGCGTCTTCTTGCACGGCTGCCAAGCAAAGAGTGCAACAATCGCAGTTGTCTATCACCCATTTTCATTGTCTCTCGAATAGCTCTCCATTTGTGGCTGAAAGGATTTCTGAGCCACTTGCACTCACACAAAAATTTCTGATCATTTTCAAGCATCAACTCATAAAAAGACATTATAATTTTAAAATTAGATTCTTATCTAATTTTTAATATTTTTTTATAAAAGAATGAAACAATCATTAAAATTTAAATCTACTAAATCGCACTCCGTCTAAATAAATCGGTTCAACAATTAAGTGTTAAAAGATAATTATTAGAATGTGCTTCTAATGATTGAATGCAAATAATCTTGGTTTTATCTGAGATAAGAAATATATAATCTAATCTAATATATGTATAATCGCATATCACAAAATCTGAAGACTTTTAAATGGTAAAGCAAAGAAATATATATTATTGGATGACGATTTCCAAATTGAAATCGCTCGATAACTAATTTATTTTTCTTGCAGATTTATTCACCATGTGGCTTAGGACCAGTAACCCTCGCCTAATGGAGATGTTGGCCAGAAATGATAATGGGCAAAACATTTAATGCACGTTATTGCCAAACCAAAATAGCAATTTGAAGCTACGCGCCGCCAGGATTTGGCCAAGCCCTCAGAACCAGGCTAATGCAGTGAAATATTTATTGAAATTGTGTGTTCCCCGGGGGCCAATGCGGCATTGTCTGCTATTAGGCGGGTTTCGGGGATCAGGGATGGCAGAATGGTCTTAATCCCGAATCCTGGGGAGGGGAATTGGATATTGTGATGGGGGCGGCTATCTTGGTAGAGGGTTGGAACGCGTGGGAGGCGCTATTTACGAGTCTCTGCTTGGCACTTTCG